GTTAGGGGTGCACCACCAGCCCCGTCCTGCCGCGGTACAGCACCTGCGGGGTGAGGGGTGTACATATGGGGGGGCTTAGCAGGGGTGAGGGGTGTACAGGGGGCCTTGCACCTGCGGGGTGAGGGGTGTACAGGGGGTGGTTATGGAATGACACGTGGGGAGGTGCTCATTCATTGCGGGATGGGGTGTGGCAGAACGACGCCAGGGCAAGAATTCGTCGGTTGACATCGGCCATATGTCCGGGCAGTTAGAATCGGCGGCAGCTCTAAACTGGCCCCGCTATATTATTATTATATATATTACGATTATTATATTATTATTGTATTGACGACATTACCGAACCTTATAATGTTTCTCCAGCATCTTGGCCATGTAGTTAGCGTTTAAGATAGCCACTTGGGTGGCCTTCCTTAGACCCTCCGGTCCCATCATCTGCGGGAACAAAATGTTCGTGAATTTTACATGGAGATGAAAACAAAACCAATTACTAACGATCAACATGAGCACAAACTCGACTTTAGAGAGTGAATCAAATGAGATTTTCTTAGGTTAGGTTAGGTCCTGACTTTATTAATAATATAATAATATTAACATACAAAGTCCTGAGTAACTTTGTATTTTCAATCTACGTGTCTTTCCTCCTAGGTAACAACTGGCCTAGGCATGGACGCCTGGGACCCGGACCCTCCTAGGTGACAACTGACCTGTACTCAGGCATGGATGATTAGAAGCTAAGGGGCCAAATCCTAAGTAGACCGAGGCCCCAGAGGAGGACCCACCTTGACGTAGGCCCAGGAGATGGGCAGGATGGCGGCACTGCCGTAGGGCGCGGCCGACACCACCCCGAAGGACTTGGCATGCTTACGCACCACCCTGACGGGGTCCACCACAGGGTGCGACGGCAGGTACGGCACCAGGTGCGCCTTCCTGCACGAGGGGGACTTTAAGGATCTCTTTTTGAAACTCGATACACTAGGGAGCATTGCAATCTTTGGGAGTGTCGGGTCCCTTGGGACTATTGGAACCTTCGGGACTATTGGAGTCTGAGGGACTATAGGAGGGAACCTTCGGGACTGGAGCCCTGGGGACTAAACTCAAATGCGGGAGCAATACTTCCGCATTTGACCTACGGGATTATTGGAACCTTAAGATTATTGGAACCCTGAGGACCATAGGAGATCATATAATTCTTGTCCGCGAAAATTGTATGAGTCATGAGTGTGCAATTTAAAGAGCGATTCATGATAAGAGCGGGCAGTTGACCAGAGTTGTGGGTTGGTTGGGAATTTATAGGAAGGTCATAACTCATAAGTAATCAGGATGATTGCTAATTCCTCTCTGCAGTGACAATTATTGTTTCGGCGACAGAGCGTCCCGGTCGCCGCCGCCACAATCTGGAACTGTTCACCGTAACTTTGGCTCCTTCGTTGCAGATGTTTCATCGACGCCTAAAGACGGAACTATTTCGTAGAGCCTATGAATCTAGTGCTTAGTCATCTTTAACCGTTCCCATCCTTTATTGCCTCTATTTATTTTTCGCTTGCTATTAATCTTATGCGTGACGTGCCCTCGGAGTTCGTTTGAACCAGACGCCCCGATAAACGCTTCGTAGAATAATAATAATAATAATATTAATAATAATAATATAATAATAATAATAAGAAGAAGAATAATATTAATAATAATTGTTTCAAATTGTCGTCTCTATTTTGTTTTCTTGAGCTACTCACACGCCGATGGGGCCCATGCCGGGCCCGCCCCCGCCATGGGGGATGCAGAAGGTCTTGTGGAGGTTGAGGTGGGACACGTCAGACCCGATGTCCCCGGGCCTACACAGCCCCACCTGGGCGTTCATGTTGGCCCCATCCAGGTATACCTGCACCAACATCATGCACTTGAAAATATTAAATTAAATTAAATCCTGGCATCTGATATGGGATCAACGTTGATTAGACGTTTAAATGTCGATTTTACGTCGATTAAACTTTTTTTCAACCATATTACTCCGAAGATTTCTGCAACCCTAACTGTATTTGAGTTCTATGTGATATTTTCTCTAATATTTATATTGTATTGCTCATACTTTGTACAGGGTGTTTCAGAATTAAATAACCCTTTTAATTTGTTAATAAATAAAAAACTAAGAACGTTATGAAGTTGAAACTTGTTTTATTTAAAAGAAGAACATTTTCATGGTAATATTGTATCATAGTTACGTCATTATCCTGTATCTGTCTCTTATACACATCTAGATGTGTATAAGAGACAG